GCAAGCGTGTTGAGATAATAATAGTTGGTCCGTAGTGCGTCTAGTCGTCATGTTCTTTTTGTTGTAAGTTCATACTTCATACCAAAAATAAATGATGAAAGAGAGTCCCCACAGTTCGGAAACGGCGACTTTATTTGGTATGATCGTTGCTGCTGAGCGCACATCGGATGTCGCCGTTCGTTACAGCTTGCGGTGGGCCACAGGGACGAGAGTGAGTGTCTTCTCGAGAGTTAATAAATGCCTTCTCGACGCTCTCTTCTTTTGGTCTGTACCGTAGTGCCTGCCTCTCTCTCGCCTATCGCCGTTGGGGTCCCAACAACATCGAACGTCAACCGCAATCGTTTTTCTTCTTGCTGAGTAAGAGGCTACCCGTGTACCCGGCTGCTGCATGTGAGGTGATGGGCGCTGCCTCTTTACTTGAAGCAATGGGCATGGCCCCTACTGTTTGATGCATGCAGTGCTATGTGACAGCTTCCAGCGGTTCAGAGCGGCGACGGTGGCTTTTCTATGCTCTATTTGCCACCTCCCTGAAGCCTGTCGCGTCTGGCTCACTTGTCTCTGTTCTCCCTTCTTTCTATTTTTATTTTTCATGCTTTGCTTTGTGGGGTCCGCCGGTCACCCACCCACCCATTAGTTCAGTTTAGTTTTTTTCTTGCCATGTCTGTGACTGGGCCCCGCAAGTTTCGCAATTAATTCTGAAGCTTTTCTGAAGCTAATGAAACAGTTTATTTCATCTTTCGATATCCGTTCGGTGGGGAATCAATCGCAAATCATTACCCGTCCCCGAGTTTGAGCAGCTTCCGCCTCCTATGGCCGGCAAGAGTCGGCCTTCACTGCACCTTGTCTGTTTCGCCGTGAAAACGGTCGGTTGAACAGCGAAAGAGGGTCCTGCGTGCTGCGCGCCAAAACCTGTTTTTTTTTGTCTTTCGTTTGTGATTTTCTTCCTGAGTGACCTTTGTACACATACATTGTTGCTGTACAAATACATGCGGTTGCTGCACTATATACTCGGAACGTGCTGCAAAGGTCGTAAGGTTATCGTCTCTGTTGTTTTGGGCTGCACGCGTTGCTCGCGTAGGCGATGCGCGTCTCCTACCTTTTTCCAGTGTCGTTACCTATGAAGAGCGACGGCAGCACAGTTGAAGAGGCAAACAACAACAGACGGTCAGCCTTCGTTTTTTTTTGTTTTGCTGCATGCATGGATGGGTGGTATGCATCGGTATAAGCGTGTTGCTGCCTTACCTTGAGTCTGCTGGGTAGTCTTAATTTGAGCGATACGGTATTGTACCTAGCAGCACAATCTTATTTACTACGTAGTGAGGTATGACAACCAGCAGTCTGCTCGTTCGTGCAGCGGTGCGAATCTATCGCGGACGGCAAGCGTATTGAGATAATAGTTCGTCCGTGGTGCTATGTAGTCATGTTCTCTTCAGTTCTTACTTCCTACAATAAGAGTCCACAGTTCGCACACGGCGACTATATTTGTTTGTTGTGTTTGTTTGTTGTTGCTGAGCCGACATGGGATATCACCGTTCGATACACAATGTGACATCATGTCTGACAGCCTGCAGTGAGCCAGAGGGACGAGAGTGAGTGTCCTCTCGAGAGGTAATGCCTTGTCTTCTCTCCACTCTCTTCTTCTAGTCTACCTCTCTCTCTCTCTCTCGCCTTTCGCCGGTGGGGTCCCAACAACATCGAACGTCAACCAACCGCAGTCGTTTTGCTTCTTGCTGTGTAAGAGGCTACCCGTGCATCCGGCTGCTGCATGAGAAGCGATGGGCGTTACGCCAAGCAATGGACTTGGGCCCTACCTAACGTTTGCGCATATGCAGTGCTATGTGAGAGTTTCCAGCGGTCCAGAACGAGCGGCGACCGTGGTTTTTCTATGCTCTCTTTTGCCTCCTCCCTGAAGCCTGTCGCGCCTGGCTCTTTTGTTCTCGCTTGTTTCTTTCTTATATTTTTCATGCTTTGTTTTTTGGGGTCCACCGGTTCCCCTGTGCGCTCATCGGGCGTCTTCTTGGTGTCTACCCTGATTGTTACCCGCTGAAAAAATCGAAAGCTTCAGACACGCAACGCGACGATACTCGTCGAGTTGCCATACACAATCAGTACATAGTCTAGGGTGCGATATCACAAGATACACCGTGCATTAGTATGGAGGGCAGGAAAGGGTGGGTTTGGCAAGGAACAGCGGGTGGGTCAGTGACGGGAAATCCATGCCATATATGTAGATGGGTCCGCGGGGAGAAATATGGGCTATTCCAACCAGCTGGATTCATCCCGTCAACGGACAAGACCTCGCTTGATTATTATCATATTCTGCAGCTTCAACTAATTGGATCTGTGTTGTTCTGCTGGGTAGCACACGAACGGCAGCAGCAAGAACCTTCCGGGGGTCTGGTCAGAAGGACCCCCAAGGTTTGCGGTGCATATTGCACTCGACTGCTGTTGTCAGGGACAAGGTGCGGCGAGGATGATGAACCGCCATCTGTCGCCTGCTACCCTTCACTACACATACACAGCAGTGTCCAACCTTGGATGCCCCCCTCCATAGGCGGCACAGCACAGAAACGAGGGCTACTCTTACCGTTTACGTTGCGCCTACGGACACATGTCACTGCTATACAGCGCGGAGTCTCGATCGGTATCGCTACCACCGGCGGACATCTTGGTAGCAGCAGCAGTAGCAGTAGCAGCAGTAGCAGCAGCAGCGCGGGGAGCACCGGTTGCAGGAGTTCCTGCAGCGGCAACAAAGCCCGACGCTGGGGAATTGAGCGCGGCCAACCCGGCAGTCGCCAGGAGAAGAGCGGTAGATATGCAGGGGGGTCGGTGACACACGTAGAGCGAGAGAAGCGGACGAAAGAGACTCTGGTATCACCTAGTAATCGCATGCCTGGGTGCGCGTCAGAGAGACAGCGCGACAGCGCGACCAACAGACCGAAAAAAAGGTTCGGCCAAAGGTTCAGGTTCCGAACCAACATCGCGCGCTCTACACAATACGCTGTACACGTGCCACCGAATCCAACGACATACACTGCCTTGCTGCCGAACTCCACAGGACCGGGGCTGGTCTCCTTCGCTGCCGTAGCGCTGACCACGGTGCTGCTGGTGCTCAGGGTTCATGATGACGGCTGCCCCGAAGGGTCCTCCAACGAGCCAGAGCAGAGAGAGGGGACACTCTATAGTCTAAGCGCAGTAGCAGCGCAGCCATGCATCCTCGAAGCCGGCGTGGGAGCATCGGCAGCTAGCGTTGCGGTTGGACGGCCGGTGCTGGAGAGCGTGGAAGCAGCGGCGGATCCCTTGGTGGAGATAGACGAGACAGTCAGAGAGAAGCCAAGAGACGGTCGTAGGGACAGAAGAGATCGTGACTAGGGAATAACACAAACGCGCACGATGTGCTGGCGGATGGAACATGCAAGGTGGGAGAAACTGTCAGCATGCCTTTGGGTCGTACCAGCTGAGATATCCGCACCACTTCTCTTCATGTGCTAATGATGTCCTTCATTGATGATGTTCTACAATGTAGATGCTATCGAGGTGGATGGCTTCAACTAGGTGACAGGGGCTAGACGCGTCATCCAAGCAAGACGCAGGGGAGTTGATCCACCTCGATTTATTGGGAATGTTGGCCGTGCATCGTAGATCAACAGCAGCAGACATAGATCCAGCAAGATGAGAGACACTGCGACGTGTTCCTGTGAAGGCAGAATATTACAACACACAACATTGCGGAGAATTTCTCCCCTATATTTTTTTCGTTGACTGAGTAGATAAAGGAAACTACGGGGGAGATGGTTTGTGTACTTGTACCTATCTTACAGCAAGTGTTTTGTGATTAGCACCTGCTGGCATCACTGATGAGATTTCAATGTAGAGTTTAAGATTGACTCGAAATAAGCCCAGTACCCAGCCGGTTTCCCTCCACTCACTGCAAAGAGCCCAACACATCCTGCTCGACTGTGGTTATATCTCGAACGGGTAGTCTTTCTGTGCTTCTTCTTACTTTTCCTATTGTGTGCTCTGTGCCCTACCGTGTTCCGCCGCGTGTGCAAGCATGTACCGTCAGGTCTTGCGCAGAAAAAAAAAAAACTTGGGAATTTTCGCAATAGGCGTCTCGGTGATGTGAGGCACTTGGTGTGGCCGTCCTGTGGGCACGCCTGTTTCTTGAGGAGAGGAGACAAGGAGAGAGAGAGAGGAAGACTATGGTATACAAAAATTAGCCCAGTTGGATTCAACCCCGACCACCCCCCGATTCGCTACACAAAGCACACGGCACGTATTGTTGTTCCCGCCGGTTGCTTGAAGAGGTAGAGGGCCACGTACGACTGTTAGGGGGCAATCTTGACGGCGTTTTATGGCTATGAACAGGTTTTATATGAATCGGAAACGCGTTCAACCTTGGACTCATGTACCTCGCTATGAGCTGTGCATTTTCGAAACAGCACGCGACCAAAATCTGAGAGCGTCTTTCACCCGAAATCATTTTCTTTGTTTCCAGCGAGCATTCTACGATGCAACCACGGGTTAATATTGCCGGAGTCTCACGTGTTTCGACCACTCTGGGCAGGCACTGCTGTACGTGGCATCGTGAGACACAAATGCCGCCGATGGACGTCGACCTTCCTACTGTAATATAGTGATGGCGTATTGTATCAGGCGATTGCGTTGAATATATTTTGTTTGCACGGTGGTGCCGCCGTCTGTACTTGTGTGCAAGAGACTACCGTTGTATATTTGCTTTTTGCGCGGAGTGCCTGAATGGGGCGAGACCCAGACCGCCATCACAGCGATGTGATTATTGGAGTGTTGCATGCTTAGACGCACGAATTTGTTCAACAGCAGTACTATTTCGGTTCCAACTCAAAGGCGTGACATGCATGTTCCAAGACCCCAACCTTACTTGCGTTCGGCCGACGGACTACGGATGATGATGCAACCATAATCGATTACATATATCCCCATCCCCTTCTGCAGACTGGAGGAACGACTGCTTCTGACATATGCAGCGCGAGATGATGAAGGCAGAGCAGGCTATCCTCGGCAGGTTCGTGACATCCTTGCTTGTTTGCCTCTTTTGGTACTGGTCCCGATCTGACTTTTGCTTGTTCTGCATGTACATCGTTTGTTGCGCCACCCTTCACGTCCAAACCCGGCAATGTTTCCTCCAACTATTGGGCGAGAACTGGCCCCTGCCCGTTGAAAAGCCTGGTACCCGTGCACACCCCACCGCAATGCATGAACTATTGGGGTCCCACCCCAAGTAGATGCTTCAGCCCCGACACATACAATCAAGAGCGGGATACCCGTGCACTTTCCGCCTGTCTGCCTTCCTTCCTTGGCATCACCCTGTAGGTTCACCGACGCGCTGGCTTCCTACACGGGCTACGGCGGGGCGATGAAAAACCTCCAAGGGGACAAGCTGTGGTACAACAACATGTTAGGGATCGGCGCCTACGGCGAGGCCGGCGCCGGAGAGGTGGGTGCGATTTGTGTAAATGTGAAGAGCAACACCCACGGGACCGACTCCAGGAAACGAAGGTAGACAAAATTAAGCCCTAGACCAAGCCCAATATTTTGTTTTCGGTACATGTGATGTTGTCGTACACAGACGGTGCCAAGCTGATTTCTTGTGATGCCATCGTGAGCGTACGACAAGAAGCGACGATTAGTTTCCGACCTCACTCGAGAGGTCATCGGAGGTCCAGCGGTATTACCACCTCTACTTTGCTTCGACAGCTTGAACCGAATATTTCATTCACCATCATGCGCGGCTGTTGTCAGTGCTCGAGTCTTGACGCGTCGTCGTGGAAGAAGGTGATATCGGACAACACGTTAACATCCCCGAGAGCTTCCAATCCGAAAAAAGCTGCAAACGCTTCATATTTTACCTTCAGACGCACCCTCCTGGTACGAGGTGGAAACTTACAACGGTAGAGCACAACGAAGACGGTGCGTGCGCCGTCCTCGTCGTATCAAGTCGCGGAAATCGTCATTTGAAATCATTTTTTCTCCCCACGTCTTCTCTCATTCCGGTGCGTGCTGCAAGAGGATGTGCGCCTTTTGTGATCCCTCCACATGCTGCTGTCGCAGGTCGTGTCCGTGAGAATTCCTTCGTCGAAACGGCCCGAGTTTCCTAGCCGTACTTCGACATGTTCCTCAGATATGACAACGGGGCCGGGCGGATTTTCAAGGATGGGCGGTGCCCTCAGATCAGACGGGCGGATAGACAGACAGAAACACCTACGTGAGGTGAAATTATTATTGCTGTGCAGAGTGTGCACAGATATTTGGAAACCACCCGGCCGGGTACCCGGCACTCGTTCTCTGTGGTGCTGGTTGCTGTTCTGTTGTTGATTTATTTTCGACAAGTCCGGACAATTGTTTTCCTTTGGTATCCGTAGATTGATTCACTTGAATCCATTCATGATTGGTTCAAGTGTCGTTTTCCTTGTGTCCAGGACCGAGGAAGGGAGTAAAGGTCTCTGCTGGGCGTGACAGGTGGTTTCAGGGGCCAATCGCTGATCCCATCAAGCAAGAGGCCGCCGCGCGCGCGCTGATGCTGGGAGAGGGGAACGGAGGCGATCCGGATACTCTCGTGAGGGACACAGCAAGTGGGACCGCAGCACTGCTGGTTGGTTGCTGTTTGATCCATTGGGTGCGTTCGATTCTTCTCCTGTTGTTGTAGAGAAACGGCCAGGCGGCTATCACCGCGATGCCATGATCTTGCCTAACCCTCGAAAACACGCGTGTTTGTGATTTGGTGTGAAGCTGTTTGTCATGGACACGGGGGACGTTCCCGTTCTTCAAGGGCGTTATCCACCACCAGTTCTACAACGCTGACTAATGCTGCAAGTACAACAACCTCCGGAAGCAGTACACCGAGGGGGGCATGATGCAGGAAACCGGCTGCCCCGAGAGGTCCATGTAGTGCGATGAAGCAGCGCTTGGCTTTGTTTAGAGAGAACGCCACGAAACCGATCGTCCCTCTAGGGTCATGTCGAATGCGATGGGTTGTTTAATCGGTGTAATGGTGTCGGTGCGACGGCTTGGTTGCGCAGGTAGATAGATACATGCGGTTGTCGTTAGTGTGTGGGGGCTGAAAGAACTTGGGTTAGAACCTACCAAAGTCTTGGGTCCTGCTCAGGCGAGGTTTGGTATGAATGCGTTCCTCCTCCCTGATGAGCGGTTCATGCGTGTAGCAATGTCTCGAAAGTAGCTCGACCAGGAAGCGAAGGTCTAGGACACCGGCCTGGTGACTTAGCACCGTTTAGTTCAAACCGAACGTGGCCGTGTGTTGCCCAAGCCTTGTTAGCAGTGCCCTGCGAGGGCAGGGGCGGGCAGGACAGAAACCCCACGGGGAGTGAGTCGTTTGGCAGATTTACCGTCAAGATGTTCGGTACTTGTCGGGTATTGTTTTTGAAAGATACAGTAGTAGCTGCTGTTCAGGCTGTAGAATTCGTTACTATTTCACTATAGCCCTTTTCCGAATCAGCAGTATGAGGTGGAGAAGGTCGAGATGCAGGAAACCAGCTTTTGAATGTAGAAAGATTAAATTGTGCGTTTTGTGCACCCTTAGTCTTGTGTGCCTTCCCCACTAGCCATTTGCCAACCCACACGAGCACCAACAGCCGCATGACCCAATCAACAATAATGATCTCGCCTAGGCTCTTGAAGTGAGAGCAAGGCCGTGCAGGTTCGACCAAGTCTAGACAGGGTGCCCGGGGGGGCCCAGTGACAGTCCACCGTTAACTTCGGCTTTTCATGTTTTGGGGTACGGGCGGCGTCTACAGCCCTACACGAGAGATTTTTTGTTATCTCCTGGAGGATTGGAAGAACGTTTATGCAATCGAGCGCCCGCTGCCGACCGGGGCGGTCCTTCGATGCAGCCTTTGGGCAGGATTGAAATTTGATAAACGCCGCAGTCTGAGGGCAGTACCGAAAACTGACCATTTTGTCTTCCGACATCGTTCCAGCAAAAACAGCAGTAGAGAACAGCCGGACGCCGAGTCTCCAATGGCCGCAAGCTACACCTAACGGCATTATGCTAATGTAACCTGAACGAGAGTCCCGCCGCTGGTGGCAAATATTACAGAGGTGGGCTGAACGGCGGATGTAGTTGTTGCGTCGTACGCATTGTAAAGAGCTATCGAGCATATACCAGTCTAACATCAGCACCCAGCAGATGAAGGGGAATGAAAGTACGTTGAATGCCAGTCCAGTATCCGGCAGGTGCCATTCGACCAACAAAGGAATTGGAGCTCGCACGCTGTCTAGAGAGAACCGCAACTTGGAAAGCATTTCCAACACACATGGTTGTGGTTTATTGCTACCGTATTGATGCCCGGACTCATACCCACCCGTGGATAGAGAACTCTCTCTCTCTCTCTCTCTCTCTCTCTCTCTCTCTCTCTCTCTCTCTCTCTCTCTCTCTCTCTCTCTCGTTCATTGCCTCAAGCTGCCTAGCAAAGAAAGGCCAAGTAGAGTTAGTTGCGCCGCATGATGAAACAAAACTTTTGGTGGGATGAATACGGGAGATGAACCCTACAGACCCACCCTCTCGTTCATTGGCTGAAAAATGAAATTGAGTTGGGAGTGAAGAATATTACACGAAGAAATCGCACCGCACGTCATCAAGTAATTCTCACGCTGCTCTGTTCTCGCTCGCCCCGTGTGGCCCCGAACCCTCCTCTTTCACTTTCCAATCCGCTCTCGAGACCATGACGTCTAGTGTGCTTGCTCCTCCCCGACGCAGGGAGGTGACCTGGGCCGATCCGCTTGAGCAGGTCATCGAGATTCCGGCTCGTCTGCCCATCGTGACCTGGGCCGATCCGCTTGAGCAGGAAATTCCGGCTCGTCGACCCATCGTGACCTGGGCCGATCCGCTTGAGCAGGAGATTCCGGCTCGTCCACCCATTGTGACCTGGGCCGATCCGCTTGAGCAGATCCGCGAGATTCCGGCTCGTCCACCCATCGTGACCTGGGCCGATCCGCTTGAGCAGATCCGCGAGATTCCGGCTCGTCCACCCATCGTGACCTGGGCCGATCCGCTTGAGCAGATCCGCGAGATTCCGGCTCGTCCACCCATCGTGACCTGGGCCGATCCGCTTGAGCAGATCCGCGAGATTCCGGCTCGTCGACCCATCGTGACCTGGGCCGATCCGCTTGAGCAGATCCGCGAGATTCCGGCTCGTGAGTCCATGATGTCGATCATTCCGGCTCACCAGCCTGTCCAGACACCGCCTTCCCCGCCTATCATCCAGCCGCCGCCGACTCGGTCGATGCGCCTTCGTTCTTCATCTTGCTTGGTAGAAGGTGAGAAGCCAGCTGCCTCCGAGTATAGTTTTTTGGTATCCATGATTTGATCAAAGTGCATTGGACGAGCAACTGTTGTCCTTCGTTGTAGCTCTGTCGTTGATGATTGCAGACAGATGCGCTCACGAGTCGGGTTGCGGGTCAGCCTCCCCACAAACGGCCGACACATGCACACAGAATTTCAAAGCCCTGACGCTTGATTAATTTCCGACACTACGGTACACTAGACTGTGGATGTAGTTTGTATGATGAAAATATCACCAACGGCCGTCGGTACCCATATTTCAGCATATTTTGGGCGCTCCCCGCCATCTTCATGGGCCCCACGGGATCCATTCTTCTCTTGATAAACTGAAAACGTCCCGGGAGTTTCCGCCCATCCGGCGTCTCTTGGGTTGTTGAATATGCTGATAGTGGCGGCTGTTGCTGTTTCTGTCGTCGCTGACTTGTGTTTCGTAGGCCGCGGCAGTGACGCTCTGTCCAGCACCACCACCAACACCAACACCAACAGCAGGAACGATCACCTTGCATCGCGGCGGCAGGATCGCACCCCGAAGGGTAGCTGTAGCAGTAGCCGTAGCGCAGGTAGTGTATCATCTCGCACGCGAAGTAAGGCACGAACTGCGGCGACGAGTAGGGTGATGTGTTCTGCTAGAGCCACCGTACAATCAGGTAGGACGGTACTTGGCGGTAGCACGGCAAGAAGAGTGACTAGGTCCAATGTGCGAGCCGGCAAGGTGAGACTGTGCACCGACACCATCCGATAGATTTCCAAAGTACCTCGGGTTCATGGAGTGGTCGGCGTTATGAACGAGATATGTAGATGTAACGACGAAAAAACTGTGTTTTTTGGCGTTGGTGTTGTTGGTGATGTTGTGGTGGAGGTATCTCGAAAAAATCATAAAAGTGATTTTTTTCTGCTGGTGTCGTTGGTATTGGTGTGTTGTTGAATGTTGGTGTTCTGGCATTCTGGTGTTGGTGTTGGTGGTGTTGGTGATGTTGTGGTGGAGATATCTCCAAAAATAATTAAGATAATTTTTTTCTGGTGGTGTCGTTGGTGTTGGTGTGTTGTTGAACGTTTGTGTTCTGGTGTTGGTGTTGGTGTTGGATGTTTGCGTTGGTGCTGCTGTTGAACGTTGCTGTTGGTGTGGTGTAGTAGTTGTTGGTGTGTTGTTGTTTCTTGCTGTTGGTGTTATTGTCGAATGTTCGTGTTGGTCTTCAACAGCTTGTTTCGATGTGCGAGTTGTTGGAGGGAGGTGTCTGATCAGCATCTCTCTGCTTCAACGCGGTATCACATCTATCAATCTTCAGAAGGCTGCGTAGGGGGTGGATGTAGCTAGAGTCCGAATCAAATGGTAGGTTTTCCGTCTCTAACTTCCTCTTCGTCGAGCCTCTCTGTTGCCTTTCTTTGTTCCTTTCGTGGTAAAGCGCAGGTGCTGTGGACTGTGGACTAGAAGACCTGGAACTGGACTTTGGGGGCCGTCATAAACTGATTGTGGTTGGTTGTGATACAATGTTTTTCATACAGCGGAGAGGTCTCCTATTTCCATTTTACGCCAACTCTCGAACAATCTGACGATTGAATAGAGTCGGTGGTACTCTCAAATATATTCTAAATGGCGTTCAGCAGTAGATCATGATAAAACTCAACGTTTATACCGTTGTCTCATTCCATCCATCAGCAACAATATTGTTATGAAAATTGTGTCTTCACCTTTTGGCAATGAATCATAGAACACCCGGTTTCCCTACGCTAACTTGTTCCGCCGATGAATGACGAATTTCACAAGACCACAGCAGATGATACCACCTCTTCACATGACATGTATTTATAAGGTACCTTCACACAACGTACTTTCATACAGCGGGCTATTTTTTTTCACGTGTGTTTCAACGTACCTTCATACCGACTACAGCACTACAGCAGACTAAAATATTTACATGGTTTTACAACGCACCTTCATTCAGCAGGAAATAAATGGTTTTACAACGTACCTTCATTCAGCAGGAAATAATATACGTGTTTACTCTAAGGAACCCCAATGAGACTACAGCAGGCTACATGTCTACTATTGTACATACTTTTACTTCCTTTGGCCGATGGACGCCAATCAATGGCTATGGTTGTTAGCTCTTGAGAAGCATCGATATAATTTGTTGTATAGTCTAGGCACACGAGGTGGCTCATAAAAGAGCCGGTATATAGACTACCTAGAGAGTGAAGGTGGCGCTGGTTGATTTCTACGTCGAAATTACGTGAGCCTACGGACTGCTGTTTATTGTAGCGGCGACTGTCCCGGCGAGGCATGAGTGCTAGAGGAGGATTTTCTGCTCTCTCCAGCTGCTGGAAACCCTTCACTACTTGGCGGCAGAAGCAGAAGCAGCAGAGATTCCGTGGCCCAAGATCGACCTCTACCTCCAAGATCGGCACCCTCCTTCCACGCGGTTGAAATTCCTCCGCGGAATACCTTGGGAGAGAGGGATCAAGGCCCCGCGTACGGGAGCCGTGACTACCGCTTCCTTAGCATCTTGGCGTATCCACGCTATGGTGCTGGGGGGGGTTAGCGCGGCGTCTGTCCCGGCGAGGGATGAATACAATACGTTGATGCGTCCAGACTTTGCAGTCTGGACGCGGAGGGCGCGGTGATCCACTCTTGGAACCGTTGGTAGGGAGGTGGTCACCTCTGTCATTCCCAATGGCAGGGCCCCACGTCCCAAACAAGCCACGTGTCTTTCGACACGGCCCTGAGAAACTGAAAGAAACTGAAAGCCTGAAGTGCATGCTGAACTGAGCTGTTATCGTGACGTGAGCTAACCTGGGCTAACCTTAGCTATTCTAAGGGGTGCTAACGTTGAGTGCGTGCAGCCCTCGCGAGGAGTAGACTAATACGGAGCATATCTATTACATATTGAACCTTAACCGGCGGTCTTGACAGACAGGAGATAAGAACTTGTTTTGGGGGGGGGTTGTGGAAGATAAAGCAATGATGTTACACAGGCTGCTAAGAAGCGAAAAATGATTATGTAACTTTTCGAAGGGGAGTTGGAAGAGAAATATTAGCAGGACGTGAGTAGGATATTTACGGCAAACTGCGGGCACCTTTTCTCTCTCTCACTAATCCTAGACTAATAAGTGGAGATTGATTAATTGACTCTATATATAGCGGTACGGAACTCTTTAGCACGCGCCACATCAAAGAGTGCGCAGGAATCAGATTCACTAAATAGCCTGGGAACATCGGATTGATGCTGATGCGTAAGGCATTATCTGCGTGTTCTCCAGGTTAGCTGGCATTCCGCCCCAAGTGCTGACGGAGGAGGCGGTGAAGTTTCGTGTACCACAATAGTTTGGTATGAATAGCTCGATCAGTTGGAGAACGGAAGCTTTGCCCGTGTGGTCTGTTTTTACCCCATCTGGTGCAGCCCTATCGATGTACACCACCAACGTTTGATGTAGGGGGAGTTGGCGCGCTCTCTGTATATCGAACGTTGGTGATGTGCATATAGAGGGGATCGCTTCGTCGTCATACTCCACCCCCGTGTCATACGTTGCGGAGGTTCGTGGTGTATATTCCTTCTATGGGTTCACACACTCACGCGACCCCACCGCAAAGTGACACGGTCGGTGTAGTACGTGCAACCCTGTTGAGCTCGTCTTCCACGTACTCGGAAAAAGTCCGCGCCACTTGTACCGAAGGAGTGCCAGTGACTGACGAAATGACCGATACCTCCTCGGGGCGTCAGTCGGATACTCCTTGGCACACATGTTCCCAATATTTACCATGTCACAAAACTCGGTCTAGGACTTGTTGTAGACGGTTCAATCCCTGTACTCTGCAACTACAATGAGTGAAGGTGTCGCTGAAGCGCCTAACAGGTAAGTTAGTGGTGGTGCGTCGATCGTCCTGCCGTCTGCCATCGCACGTAGGGTCGTGGCGTTGTGGGGTTCTTCCAACATTCAAGCAATTCGACAGACGAGCCGGATCGGATAGGCTGTTCATGCTTGCTTTGGTTGACGCAGGTTGGAGCGGAGCGACTTGGTTCAGGGCTCCACACTCCTCAAGCGCCTCCCCCTTCCGTCTACCCTTTGTCTACGTCGCATGAACCGAAGGCAGAACTCGCGAGCAGGCTCCGAGGCGAGGATATCTGCTCGCCCACGCAACACACGAGAACTCTCGTCCCGAGGCCATCCGGCCCACAGTCAAGCGTCCGAAAGGACTTCGAATCGTAAGCATGCTTACGCGCTAACAACACCGTTTCTCAATCCACTCCAACGTGTGAACCTGGTCTAATTGGAAGAGGACGACGTACCACCTGTGACGTCGACCCTTCGACAAAAGTGCGGCAGGAGGCACTTCGTCGTGGGTACACACTGCAAACGATTGTGGCCGCAAGACCATGAACAAGCAGTCTCGAGAGCACACCGAGCGGGTTGTTTGGTCCGGGTCGCTGTACATTTCATTCTTGCTTGCGGTTTGGCCACGTGGATGGGCAGGCTCGGACACCAGTAAAATGTGGGGGAAAGCAGTCGGTGCTCCAGCTCGCTTGGAGAGTGCAACTGAATGCCCACCGCACCCAATCGGTTCTGCAATAGAACATGTTTTAGACTTCACGGCTAACATATCTTGAAGGAAATATGGGGTTGGTCAAACCACTACCAACCAACTACCTATAGCGACGGATTTGACCAAATAGCCATTGTTCTTCCCTCGTCACTATACCCCGGGAACTCCTCCAAGAAGAGGAAACTACTACTGTGAGGATCACCTCCACGAAACCTAAGATCTCACTCTCTGTCTCTGTCTCGCTCTCTCTCTCTCTGTCACATTCTTCCTCTCTCAATGTGTCTCCTTCCCTACCCCTACCCCCTCTCTCGCGTTGACTGCCTACCCCTACCCCTCTCCGTCTCTCGGTGTCAGGTGGACTGAAAAATCCCCAGAAACTGTGGGCTAGAATATATCAGAAGAAAACATGTTCCTTGCTCACACCTGCTGCCGGCGCCAAATCAATAAATACGCTAAAACACTCTGCCGTCGAAGGCGTGTCGGTTCTAACCCCAGGCCATTCTCGCACCCCTGTTGGGTTCGACACATGCTTCTTGGTCGACTATTCAACAGCATTTGGTGAAGATTCCCGCTTCAAAGGGAAGTCTACTACTATATGGCGCATGAGTTTCTTCAAGGTCAACCGTCTTCGCCGCTCACTCTTCAGCCCCCATGGACCATATCATCCCCTCCTGAAACACTTGCACCATCCCGGGACATGTCTATTTCTCTTTCCGGCTGGTGCCTGCCTGCCTGCCTGCGTGCCTGCCCCCCTTTTTTTCGCACGAGCTCGCAGCGTTGGGAGCCAACAATTTGAGTCACCGGCGGCTTGAACCGTCAAAAGTAGAAGAAACCTCGTGAGCCAACCAACTTTTGGTAAACGTTCGACATTGAACACATCGTGTCTGCAGTACTGTAGCACTCTTGGCACGCACTTCACTCTTCCGTCTCCCCCAACGACTATCATCATTTGCGCCCAAATTGACCGGACGGTAACAACCGACCAACATTGCCCCCCGGCAGAATGCAGAGCGACACGGAGGCCGACCGTCTAGAACCTAGAACAGAGCGAAGGACTTCGGGTGCCCCAGCACCGCCCACTTCTTGTCTCCCTCCACTAGGTGATCCCATCCAAGCTCCTCGAACACCTTGGCCCGTGCTGTCGACGCCTCTTCCTTGGAAACCGTCTACGAGCAGTACATGTGCGAACCGAAGGGGCGGGGGCCGTGGTAAGCAAGGTAGGGAGGGTACTCATGTTTTGCATGCCCTAGGTGTTCGAAAATCGACCACGTGTCCTCGAGAGGACGGGGAAGGTAGGGCGTACTCTTATTTTTTGCGCGCCTTAGCGGTTAGACCATTGACCACGCGTCCTCGAGAGCGGAAGGTAGGGGGGTGGATTTGACTTTCTAATGCTGGGGTGGGCACTATGTGTGTTCGCTACAAGGAGGGCGCTGCGGTATTAGAGCTCAAAGGACGAAGCTCTGGATCATGTGATTGGCAACAAACTGTAGGCGACGTGAGAAATTCTTTTGCTTCAATACATCAAACATAGGATTACCAAGAGGGGGTTGGGGAAGAAGCGTAGCCGTTGAAGGAAACGCCGTACCAGTGCTAAAAACTGCTCATCCTGACACCATTATCACGCCGTTCATCAACTCCCTCGTCCTTGTCGAGACTGTCGGCTCCACTTGGTGAATGCACATGCCGAGCTCATGCTGAAACAAACAAAGCAGGCTCGATTTTAAGCTGTAGTATCGAGCCAACAATAAAAATACATGTTCGGGATCTCCAGGTCTTGCAGCAAAGAAATCAAATCAGGTCGGATTGCGAGTGTAACGACAAGATGCATCACGAACGCGGTGTGCAAGAAGACCAAGGCAGCAACGGGCACCAGATGACAACATCGCCACACAAACATCGAGGACAAGGATAAAGCTTGAGGTCTAAATAGCCTACATACCTTGGAGGAGGAGGAGATGAGCTTGGAGAGAAGCTTGACCATCATGCCCAGGCGCCTCTTGCGGCGGAGGAAAGCAAGAGACACCTTGGCGTGCTTGTCTTCTCCAACATCAGCCCACCTGACAAAACACCACCGCCAGAGACACAAGCAAATTTGTCATTCGTGTGAATGAGAGAGGCTACCATGCCATACTCGAGAAACAGGGAGCACAGGCAGAGAGAAGAAGAGCACAAACGAACCCCCAAGACCAGCGAAAATCATGCAACAGAGGGAGAAGGAAGAAAGAATTGCAGCAACGCCTGAAAGGAAGTCGGGTGAAGCGGCCCAACAACGGTCTGCTTCTGCTCTGGCACCAGCATCTTGGTGCCACGAGCTTGGCTCTACCGTTGTTATTCCTCACTCACTACCACCGGCCGGTTCGGACAAAGCACAAGAGCTTACCCGTCCGGCGTGCTGCAGGCGCCAAACCAAACACGCTTGTGTTCTCGAGCGATCAAACAAACGCCGGCGAGAACTTGTTTATTTCGTCACATCCCACTCTCGGAGAGCACCATATTAATCATGAAAATAACGTTAAAACTCAATAGCTGAAGGTGTCAACACTAGCACTTCCACCCCACGCAATCGCAGATCAGCGACAAAGCACACTCAGCATATCGCAGGGCCGAAATCTGGCGGAGCGAGTCCAACGGAAACGAAATATGTACCACTCGTACTAATGAGCGTCGCTGGCCTCTCGCCAGAGACAGAAAAGAACTGCTCTCACATCACCAAGCGCGAAGCACCGTGAGGTATTCGGCGAGTCACATGGAGGGTGCGCTGCATCCTGCTAAGAGCGTTCGGTATCTTGTGCTTACTTCCTTGCGTACGGATGACAACTGAATGGGTGGGGAGGTCTTTGTGGCCTATTTACTGGTACAGTACCGAAGTGTGGCGACTCACCGTAGGAGGTCAGAGTAAGCCGCGAGGAAGGGGCTGCTAGCCTTGGTCATCTCGGATTCTCCTGCGAAGCAAAGAAAAGACAAAGACGGACAACAACGGTGAGAGATCGAGATCGGCACAAACACAGACCTTCAGCGCACGCTCCAGCAGCACGCTCACCTTAAACGCTCTCTCATCTGCACGGAAGAAACAAACATCGAAAGCGGCACGCCGTTCACTTCACGGAGACGAGGGAATGCAAAATTTACCACAGTCCTCGCCTACAAGCAATAGACGTGCTTCTTCGGTTTTGAATGTTACTCCGTCGCTGTGTTTTGCGTTTTAGCAGTGTCAACCCCACTCCTGCAGTACCGGGCCCATGGGTAGGGTATCGGCCGTGTGGCGACTTCGTCGCTGCCGACAAACCGCAGTGCACCGACCATTGTGACTTGTCATGAATCACGATCGACTCCACCTACAATACGCATGAGGAACAAGGACCCTCGGCCGTTTTCACCGTAAATCCTTTTGAGTGAGAAAATTTGATTGAAATTGCTGCGACAGTCGTCGTATGTATAGGACAACAAACAAAGAGGCGGAGGCAGAAACAGAAAAAGAGGCCTTCTCAAATACGCTCTGTTGCAACTGGTATTGGCATGTACTTGGCATGAACTGTGCTGTACTCCCTGGTCAGCTCGTGGGCGCACGCATTCGACGCCGTGTGGACAGAGCCACGTCCACACCCGGCCCAGGCGAACAGGGACAAGAACAAATCAGCACATGGTGCTACGCGGAAAAAAAAAAAACACACACAACCCGCATACATGCACACAGACCAAGACACAAAATCCTTGGTTTCCGGTGCTCCTGTGTTACACCAGCCGTCGCATGAACCAGTTTCCGAACAGCGTTCACTGGTACCAAGCAAAAAAAAACGGGCGAAATCCAAACACACTAATCTAAACAGCGCGAGAGACATCCGTCGAACGCACGGCAACACCAAGCAACACAATCTGCTCACCGAAAGCAGTATTGGGCGAGAGATGAAACGTTCTAAATGAGGTATCGTATCGCACGGTCAACTCCAAGACGGAAAAACACTGCTGCTGCTTCTCACCGAGAATATCCTCCACGTCAGCAAGAGCGCGGGCCTTCCTCGCGAACGCATCCGCCAACGCCTTCTTCTTCTCGTCGAACTCCTTCCGGGCGGTGACCATGCCGGAGTCTTCCGTGTCCACGTTTGTGCCGAACTGCTTGGCCACCTCAGCCTGAAGAACAGGGGGCGGCACGAGCGCGCGACAAGAAACGGGGGAATGAAAATGATACCAGGAAAGTTCTCAGTAAACTTCGGAACTACTATAATATAATCAACTACGAAATATTGTCAGAAATTTCTTGGTGTCGGTATATTCCGAGAGTCGAGTCAAACCGTGACCCGTGTACGTGTGCACCGCACGCAAGACGAGACAGCAGACCACGAAACCCTACAGTACCATACCACACCATACCATACCCTGAACCGCTCCGAAACGACAGGAACACCATGCCAGTGCCTGTATCTACCTGACATGAACCATGTACCATGTACCATGACCACGAAACCCTGCAGTACCATACCACACCATACCATACCCTGAACCGCTCCCAAACGACAGGAACACCATGCCAGTGCCTGTATCCACCTGACATGTACCATGTACCATGTACCATGTATCATGTACCATGTACCATGTACCATGTACCATGTATCATGTACCATGTACCATGTACCATGTACCATGTACCATTACCTGATCAATGGTGGTGACGACGTCATCCGCTGCGGCGACCACCGCCCTCAAAGCCGCCAGTTCCGCATCCTTTCTCTTCTTCTCACCCCCCCCTGCAACACCGCCGCTTCCTCTCCCTTCACCAGCACCTCCCGGTCCCACAGATGGTATCGCGGCGGCTTCCGTTTCTGTCACCGTTGTTGTTGCTGCTGCTGCTGCTGCTGTTGCTGTTGCTGGTTCAGCATCCCCCCCCGCGGTTGAGCCCCCCGCAGCCGCCGAGCTGCCTGCGACGCATAAAATATTCGGTAGGGGTGGGGACAGTGGCAACTTTAACAGTTTGACCCAAGACGACCCACACATGGAGAAAGCGCAGGCATACCCCTCATCGCGAACAAAAACATGAGCCTTTCAAGTGCCGGATCATCTAGGGGGCCGTTTTGTACCGGAATCATCCCGCCGGACCAACCAGCTACTATAGCCCGTTTCCTTTTTCTCCGCCTCGCACCTGCCCTCCCCCCTGGGCTTGAAGCTCAACTGGCTCCTCGTTAGGCACACCAAACGAAGCACAATCAAGGCAAAACAAACTGAAAGCCTCTCGCAAACCAAGCAACTTGATCATGTTTCGGGTTGATACTTGGTACGTCAAGGCAAGGCAAAGCAGACAGACAAAGAGGAAGAATGGGGTACAGTCGTGAGCCCTTGACGACGTCAGGCATGCACATGTCTTCCAGGCCCAACTCACTCGCTCGGTACAAAACATGAAAGCCACTTTGATTGTTCTATCCGTACCAACAGATTTCACCCGTCCCATCCAAAGCCGCCCCCGGTGTTCGGCATCGGGGTTGGGTTTTCGTCGCTTGGCAACGACGTTGTAAAACAAGCCAATTCACTTCGTGGACTCGGCAACCAGGTTACCGGGGGGGTTTGCCTTTGTTTTTATTTTTTTCGGTAACCATGAATGGTGGTCGAGTAGATGACGTTGTGCGGGGTCGAGAACCCTCACTCCGCGCAAGGGGGATAATCGCTCCACGTTGTGTTAAATTGGTCAAGCACCCTCGAGGCTGTTTCACAATGCTTACAACTGTCTCTGGAAGTGAAAGCACCAGAAAATAAATTAAGTCGTAACGCAGCTGTCATCCGTACGCAAGGAAGTAAGCACAAGATGCCGAACACCCTTTGCAGGATCCAGCGCACCCTTCATGCGACTCGCCGAATACCTCACGGCGCTTCGCGCTTGGTGATGTGAGAGCCTGGTCCGGTGAGACCCCGGCGTGCTCCGTCCCGGCTTTGTAGGGATGCGAGGTCAATGGTCGAACGACTACGGCATGCACGACTATGAGTACACCCCCCATCCAAAGCATAAACCAAGTCGATTGGTCTATATGTCCCAAGAGATGACACCAGCCATAACATAACGGGCACCCACCCTACATAACAATAAACGAATATCACACCCTCGATCACTCTTATCCGTACCAAGAGGTTACACCCGCCCGATACCGTCCACCCGCCCTAATGAGGGACCCCCCGCACCTCCCGCGTCGCCGGTGTCCGACCCCGCCCCTTCCGTCGCCTTCTCCGCCTCCACCCCCCGCCTCACGCCTTCCCTGTCGAGGAAGTGCAGCCTGGCCAGCAGCAGCGGCAGGAACGTGTCCGGATCGGTGCGGCCATCCGCTCGAATCTGGAAACACAAAGCAAGGGGAGGCGGATGGAGCCACCCACCGAAAAACAAGAAAAACTCACACACAGACAAGAGCAGATAAGATTCACTGATTGCCCGAAGAACAAGGGCAGCCGAACAGAATCCCCCGCTAAAAAAAACTCCAGTCGGCGGTGTCAAAAGCCACCACACGCTAGATGAAGTACACCAATCGGCCAGTTCAACCCAATCCTCAGAAGGAAGCCAGCGTGTCAAGGAAAGACAAACATATCAGTCATTAATCATCTGGCAAAGACGTTTCAAGGAGTACATGAGCGCAAGGAAAACAACAACAGTTTCTGCATCACGACACCTTCAAAAGCGACAAGATGCCTATTGGCAGCTCTCGTTAACGTGGAGTACACATAACCTTCGTTACTTTTCGTGCCTTGAACGGAAGGTCGGACACAACAATTCGAAACACACACGTCACGACGCAGCCGGACACAACAACTCGAAACACACCCGTCACAACACAGTCACCCACAGCAGGCAGGCAACAGGGGGTGAGACACCCCGCAGTCACTCACCTGGTCCTTGGCGGTGTTGTGCAACTCCTGGAAGGCCTCGGCCGTCTTGGCCTTGCAGTTCTCCAGGTGCTTCACACGCAAGTCTCGGAGGGCGTCCAGCATCTTCTCCGTCTCCGTACTGCTTGGGGAGAGGGGGAAAAAAACGAGCAAAGGTACAGCGAAAAACCACCACCAATCGGTACAGCAGACGAACCGCTCGACGCAATGAATGTTGCGGGACCCATCACAACAGGGCAAAGCGGCGGCGGCAAGTTTCTACAGAGGTGGGCAACCGTGCGTTAGGGGGCAGGCGTAGTGATATCCACGCGGGAACCCAGCTTAATGGAATCCCGCGTCCAGACCAATACTGGAGGAGCACAAAAATGAAGTGTTGGGGGCAGTCTCAACCCTTGAGGGGGGGAAGAGAGTCACACACGGTGCCGTTGGTCACCATAAGAAATAAACCGATATTTTTTCTCTCGTGACACGCCCCCCGATGCGGCGACATCCTCATCACGGCGTGTTGCGACAACGGGTTCAGTGAATAAAAAAGCGGGAATCACTCTAACCCTCAAGTCTCGCTCTAACCCTCACGTCTCAACGCGAGAGACATGACAACTTCGCTCCGGCTAGGTACCAGGTGGCAGACCGTGTCAACTTTAGAGGGGGAGGCGCCACAGAATCAAACTCACGCGGGGGCTCCGGCGGCGGCTGCCTCCCCCTCCTTGCCGCCGCCCCCCTTGTCCGAGGGGGCGGGAGTTGCGGTATCTTGGGAAGCCTCGGCGGCCTTCGGGGCAGCGGGGCCCGCGATGTAGGAGATGGGGTACCCTCCGGGCCTCTTGCCGTCGCCCCCTCCGTTGGTCTTGTTGCGCACGTAGGAAGCCGTGCCTGCGCCAAAGGGTAGCAGGCACACCGCGACCATCTTCGTTGTTGCCAAGCACATGAGAACACTTTGATGCGTTGCGTTCAAAGTACAATCATCATCGCTTGATGAGGCTCTCAATAGACGTCAAGGGCGACATACATATAGATTCAGTAGACGTGCTTTTTTTTTACTCTGTTGGATGAGGAGCCATTTCGAAGAGGTTAATCCGAACAAGCGGTGCCTGAAACTGGCCAGCTTCTTGCATCTTTGGTTGATGATTTCTGCCGCCGCCGCAGCTGCCGCCTCCGTCAGAGGACGTGTGTCGTTGACTTTCCGGCATCAAAACAAGGCAGCAGGTAACCCAGTCATCACGCGCCGCGTCAACGCCTGGGTGGATACACGGTGGGATGATCCATCTAACCCCCTGACCCCTTTGCGAGACCGACGAGTGGAATGGACACTTTCGATCTCAGAATTCAGAACAACAGCTAATAGCCCTTGCCGCTCCAAAACGTCCTCGGCCCATCCCATCCATGCACAGAGGCCAGCGCGCGCGCTCACCGTATGTATCGATATGTACGCGAGGAATAGATTCCCCCTAAGGAGTGGACAAACATACCGCTACACGCTGCTGCATTCCTCATCTTTCCGCCACCCTCTTTAGTCCTCCCTCCGCACACGGCAAAAACAAAAGCCAAGCACGATGAACAAACAAATAAAAGCAAAGTGTATATAAAATCAAGCACTGAATCTGAAAGAGCCAGGCACCATGTCATGTAAAAAGTCCTTCCTGGCTTACCGGTGAACAGGTCGCCGGGTTTGACTCCCTTGGGGAGCTTTTCCTGGTTGGGCTCCGCGAAAAAGTACGCCGCCGAGTGCCCCCTGAGTCGTGAGTGGATGAATCCAACAAGGACAAAGGGCACGATCGATCGGTGAGTGTCGCTGACACATGAGAGCAGCGGCTGCGGCACGTTTTCGAGGGCATGGATGGTACAGTACAGTCAATACACCATGTATTGTCCATACAGACCCCGAGTACGTCGCCCCCCGCCCCCATTTCGAGCTGGGTTGGTCAGCACGGACGATTGAATGTATTGTCCGCACAGAACCCGACTACGCCCCCCCCCCCCCCCCCATTTCGAGCTGGGTTAGTCAGCGCGGACGCCTGAACGCCTCCCACAAAGAGCAAGGAGGCGTTATGATGCACGACACAAAAGTAGATAGAGCGTGTGAAAAAACCGATCCCCGAGGACCTTCTATGTACAAGTGCTGCAAAGGAGACGGCACGCGCAATGTGTATGCGCCTCACGTCACAAAACCCTCGATCTTGCACTGCTTCAAAGACTACAGCCGTAAAATAATCCCTGTCCCCCGAAACCTCACTTGTCGAGGCAGAGAGCCGGAGGAGCCTTGGCCGCTGTCGAGACGCCGATCACGGTCGCGTGCACGGGCACAGCCAGGCTGCTGGAAAGCTTGCGGATGAGCATGAGGGGGTGGGACTTGAGCCTCTTCAGCGCTGATTGGTCCGGATGCCTGACCTGCGGTTTTCGTTTGTGAGGGCGGGGCGCACAAAGATGACGGCAATGTCAAAAAAGATCCGTGGGACCTTCTGTTCATTCCATCCTGCAGCTGCCTTCGATAGGCGCGTTGCTAGTCTAGCGGGTTGGTGATGGAGGACGCCTGGTGGGAACAACCAAAGACGGCAGTCCAGAAGACGCCCATTTTTTCCGTCAACAGCAAGCAGGAAGCCAAGCGACTGACACTGTAGCATACGTTTGTTTGTTGGTGGCCGACTAGACAGCACATGATACTACGAAACTCAAGGGAAGAGGGGCGTTTCGTGTCCCATTTGTTGCGAACACCGAACGCGGTTTTTCTGAGAATCGCAACGGCCTGTTATTTTCTACTTCATGTTCACTCACACACGCTGGGGGGCAAGAAAATTCTATGGAAAGGAGCGAGGTGGCTTTTGAGGCTTAAACCGAGGCGTTTAAGCTGAATGAATCCAACCGTTTTCGGGTTAAACACGCCTCTCTGCACTTCTTGTACGACACAGGCACGGACTGGTCTGGGCGTGCGCACCAATGCTTTTCTACAGCTTGCTCGGGGGGTTTCTTCCCCCTTTACAGTGCTACTCTCGAGCGAGGCCCGCAGATGTGCCGTCAGCCGTCACCAACGAGTCCCAAGTTGACGTATTTGGACTGATTTTCCTTCGAAGAAAACACTACCCCTAGAAAATAAATCAACCCGATCACGTCGAGAATAAACCAGTGGAAGGTGTGTGGGGCGATTCTCCTTGGTGGCAATCAACAAACAAATCACCCCGACGATGTCGAACATACACAGCGGAATACACATCTCCCGGATCATAAATAGGGGTACTGCACGCTATCGGAAGGACCACGGTGATGAATGAAATGACACGGTGTTGATGACAGTGACTTCCTCACGTGCACCCTGACGGTGTGTTCCCCCTTCGCCAGCTTGGTGGCTTCCGGCCAGCAGTCGTTCACCGCCAGCAGCTGGTCATCGCCAACACCAAACAAATGAAAAAAGCGTTTGTTGAAAGCGGTGAAGTTTGGCACGGTCGGAGGGAGGGAGGGAGGAAGTTCATTGTCAGTGAAAGGGGATAGAAACGAAAAATTACATACAAAGTCAGACTCGACCTGAGCCCAGTATCCAGCGCACTGCGAAGACTAAGACTTTCAACACATTCCCTTCCACGACAGTTGCGACACTACCTCGAACGGGTAGGATTTGTCCGCGAATGTATGCACATTCAATATTCTAGAAGAAAAGAAACAGGAACTGTACAGAGAGTACAGCATTCCAGGGAGGGCAGGTGGGGTTCGGCTAGAAAAGCGGGCGGGTCAGCGACGGGCAGAACGATTGCCAAGGGAGCCTCCGCTAGTGCCAAAACCAAGCTCCGCGGCACCGCCACCACCACCATCACAACTCGAAGCACGAACCAGCGAGAAGAGAGGTGAGGGCGAGGGGGGCACGATGAACTGTGAATCAACGAGGACAGCGAGAACAAGAAATTGACCATGAACGAGGACATACGATGCCACTTTTTGCATGTAGACAAACGAAAGCTACGGTCGAGGAGAGGAGAACAAATCTAACGCAACACCTATAATGCTACTTTTCTTCGATCAACACAACGCAAGCACATGTTGGTAACACGAAGAATACGATGGCTGATGCCCAAAAAACAATTACCTTCTTGTTCGAGTCGAAGATCATGCACATCTGCGCCTCGTAGGCGCTGTCGTAGAGGTAGCCGTTCAGTGCCGCCAGCCGAGGGGTCACCTCCCCGGCGTCCGCCTGCTTGAACGAGTATTCCAGTAGCAGGCCGTACGTCTGCCTGCCGTCTGGGGTGACGTCACGCGGCCCGAGGGCGGAGATGGTACCCTTCGAGGGGGCTACGAGCGTGCACCACCTGGGGGGGGAGGGAGAGAAAAAAAAGTGAGGAGGGTATCACGTCACACGCCTCGATGGCAGAGGTGGTGCCCTTCGAGGGGCGCCCCCAGCGTGCAGCGGGGGGGGGGGGGGGGGTACTCATAGTCGTGCATGCCGTAGTTGTTAGACCATTGACCTCGCATCCCTACAAAGCCGGGACGGAGCACGCCGGGTTCTCACCGGACCAGGCTCTCACGTCACCAAGCGCGAAGCGCCGTGAGGTATTCGGCGAGTCGCGTGAAGGGTGCGCTGCATCCTGCAAAGGGTGTTCGGCATCTTGTGCTTACTCCCTTGCGCACGGATGACAGCTGCGTATGACTTAATTTATTTTCTGGTGCTTTCACTTCCAGAGACAGTTATAAGCACTGTGTAACTGCCTCGAGGATGCTTGACCATTTTAACACAACGGGGTGCGATCATCCCCCTTGCGGGGAGTGAGGGTTTTCGGCCCCGCACAACATGATCTACTCGACCACCATTCATGGTTACCGCAAAAAAAACGGGAACCTGGGTGCCGAGCTCATGAAGTGATCTGCTTGTTTTACAACGTCGTTGCCAAGCGACGAAAACCCAAACTCCAATGGCAAACGCCGGGGCGCAGGGGGGGGGAGGTACTCTCATGTTTTGCATGCCTTAGCGGTTAGACCACGGGGGGGGGAGGGGAGGGCGGGGGAGAAGAACAAAAGACGGGCGTCACACGCTCGGAGCGCAGAGATGGTGGGGCCACGAGCGTGCACCACGTACGGGGGTAGGAGGAGAAGAAAATAAGATGGAGGGAGTGCGGGGGGAGAGACGTGACTCAAGGTGCATGCGGTGGCTGGCGGATCGTTTTTCAAGGTTTCTGGCGTTCGATCTGTGGTGGTTGCTACCCAAAGGACGAGGCCATCTGCATGCTTCGTGCATCCCGTCATTTTCACATCGGCAAGCGATACAAACAAAAAAGAATCACCCAGCAAGCCAGGGAACAAGAGAACGCAATAAGCGGAGAGCAGACCCTCCGCGGTATGCCCGCATAGCAGCCAGCGGCGAGAAGATTCACACATACTGGAGGGCGCTGCATTGGAGGGTACGTGTCGCGCAGACAGCCACGGTTGATAAAATAATAAAATCGTGCGTGCTGTGAAAATGTGAAATTGTGGAAAGGTGTTGCGCTTGTGGTGGGCAAAGATATAAGTATGCCGGTTTGATCATATCGCAGACACAGTGAAATTAGTAAAACGGCAGGGCCTGGTGTGAAGTTACATCTACGCACGCCGGCAACGCGACGTCGCCTGGGTAGTACAGAGTAGGCACATTAATGCGAGACGGGCATATTTGTTTGGCGCGTTCCTTACGCACTTGTTCAGGGACGCCGAAGGTAAAAGCTCCTGCATCGACAGCGGCGCCGAGACGACCACCTGCGAACAAAAAAAAGAAACGTCCCACCGCCGAACATGCAACACAATGGTGTGTGCGTGAGGCAGCTGGATCGAAGCTCGTCCGTACGTTCCGCCGACAGAGACGGAGAGGCAACAGGGGGTAGCATGTTTTGAGAACGCGAACCACTGCTGTGCCCCCCTCTCACTACCCGCGCAGCGACAAGCCGTAAGCGTGCGCACAACCGTATTCGCAAAATTCGTTTGCAGCTCGACGCTGACGAAAAATAAGGGAAAAATAAGGAATTGAACAGATACATAGAGCAGGCACGACAGCAGATCTCGTTTTTCGTCTTACCTCGTGTTTTTGGTTAAAACTTCGCACTGCAAAAATTACGGGGAAAAAAATGAGCAGCCCCGTTCCATACCGCCATTTTATATCGTAGTGCAGCACGTTGATTCTGAACACAGCACAAAGAAAAAGCATTTACGGCTCATGTTGCACGCTACAAACAAAACGAGGGAGAAGAGAGAGATCACAGGAAACTGTACGCAGCGATCGCAACCCGCACCTGTGCATGGGAAGAGCCCCCATGGAGCCGGATGACATCTGTTTCGCGACGACAACAAATGGCAGCCATCCCGCCGGTAAAAAGACAGCCGTTTCAAAGCGTTTCGGGAGGGAGTTGCATCGCGATGTTAGAGCGTGTTGTTGTTGTTGTTGTGGTTGATGTTGGGATTGTGGGATAAGTTGCCGTTCCACCCAACGCAACGTTTCATCAACACGTCAACAGAGGAACAGGGAGGAGGGGAATGAGAGATATGGCTAGCGACACAAAGAGTGGCTTGTAAGGGCACCGCAGAGGGGAGCAACATCTACGCGCAACCCAAACGGGTCCTGGCACACAAGCTACCAAAGGCGTCGCCGACACGCATCGCAACAACACACCCAAGCTCGATTGTTTGCCATCCTAAACTTGGAGTGCAAAAAAACGCGGGAGAGCCACGCCCCCATACACGTGCGATATGCTTGTTCGTGGGCAAATATTTGTGAGTGACGTGCACATAGCGACGGGGGGGAAGAAAGACCCCGTGCATAGGGACGCAATTCGCTGCTGAAGTTGGCATCGGCATTCGTAATACCGAACCTGGTACTTGCTTGAATCAACTCTCGAGAGTGTCACACAGCACTTTCAAGACCCCCTCATTTCGGGAACAACCGACGCGGCCGGTGTTTCCTCTGGTGAGGAAACCAACACCAACAACCGACATGAACATGAGAGTCAGTGCGGTGCAAAGCTCCTCCGCTTCGTCCTCATTGGCTTCAGGCCTAACGAACGTCTTTCGTTGCTCACCCGGCGTGACAACCACCAACCACAATTCGAAAACATGAACAAGAGGAAACATGAACATGAGGGTCTGGTATGTGGTGTCTGTGTTGCGCCAAACTTTTTTGCCTTCTCGTAAAATACTTCAAACTTCACAAAAACAAAAAAAAAATCGCCTCTTGTGACAAACACCAACTCACCCGGCGAAGGAGAAACGCCTCGGAAGGTGACGCTGACCTCGGCCGAAGTTGGCCCGATAGCACTCCAGTTTTGAGCGAGGCTTACCTCCACCCCTGCACAGGGCTCCAGCCTCATCGAGTGCACCTGGTGCACAGTTAGACACAATCCAGAACCATTTTCCAACCCCCGTTCAGGAGGCGCGGTGCAGACGGGAGTGAAATCAAAATGTTTCTTGTTTTTGGAATATTTTGTCACATTTCAGTTCTTCGGGACGCAAAAAATCCCAAACATGCGGTGGCGGGCAACGACCCTCGATCGGTTGCGATTGTGCCATTCTACCAAGAAATGCGGCCGTCGCCGCCACCCGCTACCCATAATCTCCAACTCCAATTGGTGGGCTTCGGTTGTTGGTTTGGTGGTGGTGGTGGTGGTGGTTGAGTTTGGGTCTGGTTTCATCGTTAGAATTTGGTTGGCAGAATATTCTCTGTCATCTACACCGCCTCGGCAAAAAACGGGCGGCGAATTGATTCGGTTGCCACGTTGCCACACACTCGGGAGGGGGGGGGGAGGGGGGGGCGTACTCTTATGTTTTGCATGCCTTAGCGGTTAGACCATTGACCACGCGTCCTCGAGAGGACGGAGCATTGTTCCCACAGGACCGATCACCGATGGCCAATCGTTCCTTCCTACTTTGCCAAAGGTGGCTCAAAAATGTCTTCCCTAGTTTGTCTATCCTACCGATGTCCCTTCCCGCCTTTTCAAACCACTTTCTACTCCCCAGTACCGCTACCGTCCTCTCCTCTCTATTCCATGCCTCAAACATCTCCCTGTACGTCACTTGTATTCTTCCCAGCTCAGTCATGTACACTTCCCTCTCCTTTTCGTACCACGGACATTCCGCGACTACATGAACACTGTCTTCGCATTCGAAGCCGCAATCGCATGTGTTCGCGAAGGCCTATGTCCCCGGTCCTGAATTTGACCTTAAGCTTTGTCCCTGCATCCATTGGTCCATGTAGGTAATCCTTGAACCCTATTCCTTCTTTCAACATTCCGTACAATTCTAGACCCTCCTTATCCTTGGATTCTTTCCTTAGATTCTGTTCTTCTCTGTCGGCACAAGCAACGGGGGGGGGGGGGGGGCGTCTGCTTGTGCCCTGAAGGGGCAGGGGTGGCTACATACTCCCACATTTTTTGGTTGCCGGGTTTGGTCGTCTCGGGACCACGCGGGTGGAAATAATCTTGCCGAGATGGATACAAAACTCCCCCCTTAATTTTACAATTGATGATCCTCCTGTTCTTGAAAAATGCTTTTTAAAAGCCGAAAACGTTTCAAACCGCCTTTTTGGGCCGAATGCCCGTGCCCCCCTTGCCCCTAAATCGGACCAGGCTTCCTTATCGGGGAGTATCATGTGTGTGGTCTCCAGGGC